CAACCGAAAGGGTGTGGAGGTAAGTTAGATAACATGCGCAAAAATTCACAAAATTTCCATTTACTGCCACGAAAAGCAATAACCCCTCCCAATTTTCCACCTATATTTCCCTCTCTCCTACCATTCTTTTGCCCCCAAAAACAAGGTGAATTGACGTTGATTTGTACAAAAGTGAACAAGGAGAGGGCACTCACTACACCACGTTATCTTGGAGTGGTAAACAAACTTGTTAGTGTGTGTAAAAGATAAAGTTGTACAGCAGAAAGAAAAATGAGGTAGTCTTAAGGAAAGTTATCTCCTGGACAAACATTTTACGACCCTTAAAAGGTCTTTTTAAGGGGGCCATCGAGTGGGTGTGGAAAAAGATGAAAGGTTGGTGGAGAAGGAGGAGCAGGGGAAGGAAGGGGAAGGAGTGACTTCATCCAAAGCTAAGCAGAGTTACATCAATTGCCACAACATTCACCTCTTCTTCATGGTGTGCCCCCATCTAGAGGCGTGCAAGACTGGCTCTCCTTCACATTACTAGGCACCAAGTGACGATTGGCAGTGATGACAGGTTCAGTGCCTTGGGAATGTGAATTTACTTGATTTCGTTTTAAGATCACCTCACCAGAGGAGGAGGCAGAGGCGAGGAGGGCGAAAAAAGGGAAGGGAATGAACAAACGGTAAATATTAAAGGTCATCGTCCGGCGCAGAATTGCTCACAGGAATGAGGTGTCACTCTGATTTAAGCATAGGAGCCCACCAGTTACCTTTAGCCAACCGACTACGATTTGATGGACGAGCCTCAAAGGGAGAGCCGCATGGTGCAGTAATCCGGATTTTTTTTAAATTTTACATGCGCGTTCAGCTGTGTGGGTGTAAGGATTCCAAAAGTTTATGTCTCTGTCAAGTGGGGCTGACTCTTTAACTATGTTCATACTGTCCCCACTCTCGAGCCTTTCTCGGGGGGTGCAACGGAATGTGATAAACGGGAACCGGTTTTAAGACGCCACATTCCTTAAATTCCAAAAAGTTAAAAAAAACTTATAAATATATAAAGTTATTTACACGATTCATTGTTTTACATTAGCAAAACATGATGTTAGCTCTAAAAACGATCCGCAATGGCCTAGTGTTCCGTGCATTCATCTGATTAGTTTGGCACGCAAGCGCGCAGCGTATGGCATTCGGCAAAGCGAAAATGTCGCATTACAAAGTTCCCCAGAACCAAAATAACGTGCATGCCCCAGAACAAAGTGATGCAACGCTCAAAATGGTCCTTAGAGGTCCTAACTAAGTGCTCCTGTTCGGGTACATCCCTTTCGCATGTTCCATCTACAAAAAAAACTTTTCCCAATTAAAGGGACAATAATGTCCTAGGCCAGTACTCTTTTTGCACCAAAAAACTGTACATTCCCGTGCGATAGGCATTCTGCACAGACAGCACCATCTGACTGAAATTGCACCAATTAATTTTCGAAACACACAAACAATCTGCTGACCAGGCGAACTTATCGCTCCCCCATGAATACATAAATGAAATTTGCCTAAATAGTGTCTAATCTATATTAACTAGCTTAAGCTATTTCATTTTTGGAAAGCGAAAGGGCACTTAAAGTATCCATGAGCACTTAAATTCGACATTTTATCCACCACCAAAAAGATTATTTCATCTAATCTGAATTATTCCCGTTGATAAATACATTTATTCATTTATATAAAAATAACTTATTTGTTTTGAAAAGTGTAATATGTAAACTGTAGTGTGGCTTGTAATTTTGGCGAATGAACAGATAAATCAACATGCTTTAGTTATTGTTTAAACGAGCTCAGTCACCTTAAGCGAGAAAGTTAGTTTGCGCAAACTTTTGAAACAAGCTCAAGTGGGGTTGTGAGGGCGTTTCGCAAAATTTAGCCTTAAAAATCCCGAGTGGATTATAAGTCCACTTGGTTCTGACAACTAATGAAATTGCAGCGTCCATAATCCTTCCCAAAGACGTACTGAGCCGTGGCAGTAGGGAGGAGGAGAACGATTTATTATTGAAAGTACAGAAGGACTGAAAGGTTTTTAGGCGTGGCCGGTGAGCCACGCGTCCAAGCGGAAGTCTGATCGCGTATGCAGTCATGAAATTAAACAAAATACCAATTAACTGTATACATCCCTACTCTTGATGAGGAGGAAGCGACACAAAATCAGCTCCACATTTTCAGAAAAAAGTGGACAAATAAACCCACAGACTATCCTTTATGCATAAATAAGATGTGGTATGAGTGTGAATCAAGAGTTGGAAGTACTAACACATCGTAAGCGAGGGTAGTCCATCGTCGTGATCTTCGATCGTTGCTGTGTCCTTTAATGCTTTAGTAAAGTGAGGCAGAACTACTCTTTCAGTTTAAATCCTCTCTGTAGAGAGTCTGCTTATTCGGATTTTCTTATGATACCTTACAATTTACTTTATCCAGACGAATGGATCATGATTTCTTCCGTCATTTTTTGGTTGTTGAAAATCAGTCGCTCTGTCACTTCAGCCTTCCTTTGCAGTATCCATCCATTGCCATTTATTGCGAAGAATTGGAAATTCCTACCCTATATTTCGCTTGATCCACATCTCTGGAGCTTTTTCGTTTCCCTTGCTTTTCCCACTATCGGGCGCTCATGCCTCGTAGTTCAAGTGATTGGCTGAAATACCCTTCCGATGAGATAAAATCGTGCAAATTCCACAAATCTCGCCAAAATTGGCCATAGTTTACCTTCCAGTTCTAATTTGTTTATTAGGTGCTTGATCGCACAATGCCAAATTGACGTGTTAATCACCACAAATGCAATGTACGAGGAGCATGAACTGTTAGCCTTTTAAGGGCGCTAAATTGTACGCCCTCGTAGACCGGCTCGATGTAGAAGGAAGAGGGGTTGAGAATTTGTAAATTTTTAGCCAATATTTTGGGGGGAAAAAAAAATACTCCCAACTGGACGCCAATAACTCTTGTGCCCCCCCCTTTCCCCCCTCTGTCTGCCCCTCTCGCCTAGAAGGCAGACAAAACGTCAACCTTTTTTACCTCTATCTGAATTGTCTCTCCCTTATTCCTGCGCCTCTCACCCTCCGCCCTCCGGTATTTACAAAGAAGCTTTTGTCCTCCAGAGACATTAATTTAAGTTCATTCTGCCTACTGCTACTACTAAAAATACCCCTTGCATGAATCAGTCATTGACGTTGTTGTTGATGTTGTTGTTGTTGTTGTTTGTAGGGGTGCAACTGCACTACCAAGTCGATAGAAGTTGGGTGAAAATAGTAGTAGCATAATGGAGAAGGTGCGCCAACTATTTCCGCTCTTCATGCCTTTGAATACCTTCAACCTCTCAAACAAGGTGACGGCAATACTGGAACTACTTGTTTTACACAAAAGTACACCTTGATGAAATAATTTTTAAATCTTTTATTAACTTTGCATTGTAAAGTGAAGGAGAAATGATGTTGCCTTCTCTTTGTTAAAACACAATGATGAAAAATTTGTAATTTGGCGTTTTAAAGTTTGATTGTCTAGGCAAAAAAGGAAATGGGAGCCTTGATATTGTACTGACACACTAATCATTGTATTGTCAGGTGTCATGGGAGATTTGTTCTTCATCTTTCAAACCACTCTTTCAATGTACCGTCACTTGTCAAACAAAACACATTACAATGAAAGTGAGAATTTTGATGACCTTTGAAGAGGAGGGATTTACAATTTGTCCATCTGTTTCACAAATTAAAGTCACCATATTATTATTTGACGATCTACAATTTAGCAGTCGATCCTTCCACACACACACACTTGTGTGGTGAAATGGAGGCGGTGGAGAAGTGTGTCCTCAGCTACACCCCAAATCGTCTTTTCTCCACTTTCCTAGACTGCAAACTCATCCAGCAGCAAGGATTAGTGAGGTCTTGTTTCCTAATCGCCTCTCCTTCTCTCATCCCCAATGAATGAACATCTGTTTTGTTCAATCCCCTTCAATCAATGCCAAGAGAGAGGTCAGTTAATTGACCTCATCAAGATAAATAGTGAAATAAAAGGGAAGATTTTAGGTGTGGAGCATATTTGAAAGACCTAATGTTCCAGTTGGTGGAGTGGGTACTCGAGTACTGACTTTACTGGTCATAAAATGCCCTCTTTTTATTGATCCTCGAGTGTGTTTTATTGCAGCCAAGAACGACCTTGATACAACCTCCTCCTCCCCCTTCGCCCCTCCTCCTCCACCGCCACCGCCACCGCCTCCTCCTCCCTCTCTCTCCTCCGCCTTCGTCTCCTCGTTCGTTCAGGCCTGAGAGAGAGAGAGAGAGAGACCGTAAATAAAGCAATATTTATGGCAA